AAATTAAAAAAAATATATGTATAGAGAATCGAGAAAATATTTTGAGAAATTTAGAAATTTAATGACGTGCAAGAAAGTATTATTTTTAAATAAATATAATAATAAACAATTAATTTTAACTCGCTATTCAAGAGAATTCCTATATAAATACTTACATTTAAAGCAGTGATATACCTAATATATGTTTTGAAGTAACAGTACTCTCGCAAATATTTGCAACTTCTGTTACGACAATTGTTTGAGCAATTTATTTATGCAAAAATTGTGATGAAGCCATTGGCATACAATATATGTTTAAAATTAGTAAAAATAATTTAAAACTGCATTTGTTACAAAAACAACTTTAAGATTGTCAGTTATAAACATGAATAAAGCCACATAAAAATTTACACGCCGAAAAGAAAAAAGAGACAGAGAAAGATGTTTTAATGACCAGCTAGAATCTCGAAGCGGTAATTTTAATTTTAAAATAAAAATAATTCCAAATTTTTAAAAAAATATTCGAATGCATTTTTTTTATAAATTTTTTAAAAATTTTTCGGATTTTGAAAAAATGTTTACTTATGAATGAAAAAAAAAAGAATTAATATATAGGTAAGCTTTTCAGATTTATAAAATTAATAATTTTTATATCGTCCTATAGTTTTTTAACGGCATATTACTTAAAAATTATTTTACGTCTTAAATAATGTTTTAGCAACAATTTTTCAATGATCGGAAACCAGAAGGGTCAGAATATAGAGGTTTGCATCCGGGGTTTCTCACTCCTGTATCGACAAATATGCACGGCATCATTGAAAAATATTTGTATATTGTATAATGTGTTATTATAAAAAGGTCATACAGTAGTAAATAATTTGTATTAAGGAAAAAAATAGTAGTAAAAATAAAATCAATTCTTGCAAGTAATACTTATTTGAAAAAATATATTTCAAGCCATTTAGAACCATTTTTTTTGTACGGCATTTTGTTTTTGTTGATTATTGTTGTCAGTATTAACAAAATATATTAATGCCGTACAAAAATTTTTCACCGTGAAATCCTACTTTTCAGAGGGAAATAAATTTTCCTATAGTAAGCACATGTTTCATGAAAAATGTACGGCATGGTCAAAAATATCATTACTTTATAAAATAGAATTAAAATTAGTGAATTTGATGTTGGTTCAAATCACTTACTTACAAATAGAGGGTTGCACCCTGTATTCCTAACCCCTGTATCAGCTAGTACGTACGGCGTCGCTTAAAAATTTATCTATGTATCGATCCGAAACTTGCAGTATAAATGCCGTACTGTAATAAATCACCAAAACCCGGGTCAAAATTTGCGGAAAATGTTCCTCGCTTCCGGTATTACTATTTTTGTACGGCATTAGGTCGAGGTTCATTTTTTTTGTATAACCTATATACTTTAGGAATGCCGTACAAAAATGTTTTGCCGAAAACCACCCCCCTTGGTGGACATGTTTAGCTTACCTGTGTACTCACTTGTACCAACAAGAATTGACGGCATAGTTTCTAAAGTTATTGTTATATTTATAAGTAATTCATGTTGGGTCAAATGAACCCTTGAAAATTTCCGATGTGCTTGTAGTCTAATATAGGCATCGTCTTCTGTGGTTTGTTGTAGTGGGGATGAGATTTGTGTATATTATTATTTTGAATGTTAACTAGTTGAAATCTTGTAAATATTAGAGAAATCTATGTGTGTAATTGATAAATGACGTGACTGTTTCGTACGCATTAATTGCAATTATTGTTATTATTTAAATTTACTTGACCTTATTTATATAATTTATTTTTAATTGACCTGAATCGAGATAATCTTTTCAAAATTTAGACAGGCTATGATATCTGTAGAAATTAAATAAAAATCGTTTACTTAAATTAATCTCCAGGGTTCAATGGGTTGATAATATTTCAATTAGTTACAAAATAACATAAGCCAGTATTGAATCTAGATTTTTAATTTTTAGGTACCTATTTTATCTTTGGAATTGTCCTCATTTTTAATTATCCTGAGTTTCAGAATAATTTAATAATCTTTCAAATTTTAGATCCAAATCGTTCTCGAAAATTGATTATTTATTTTATATAAACTTCAGTGCTGGAAAAAACTTATTTTTTTAAGAATTTAGAATTTGTTCAGTTAGTCAAATTTATAAATTTTAATGAGGTTTTTTTATTAGATGATCACATTGAAAAAAAAAATGAATAAGTAGCCCCTATTTTATAAGACAGGTTCTAGAGTGAGATCTTTTTAATTTTTTTCGAGTTAAACATTTTTTTTAATTTTTTTTTATTTTTTACAGATAATGTCCGCTATTAATCCAAATTTTATTATAGAAGTAATGACTAATGACTAATTATTATTAACACGGTCGATAGCCGCACGGTTTAAGGCGTCAGTACTTAAATCGATGTGTCGATTTGCCCGGGTTTCGAATCCCGCGGCCGGTAGACCGTAGATTAGCTATGCTTGTACGAAGGATTGGCACCCTCTGTGCAGGTTTGGTAGGGAGGAAAAATGTTGGCTTGGGTCAATGTGAGAGATTGACACCGGTTGGCATTTGACCGCCCCCCTAATTAATGAGGTTTTCCAGGTTTCCCTCATTCCTGCACTGAATGGTGCCTACCAACATAAGTCGTTCCTAGGCGCAAATGCGGCCTGCGTAATAATAATATGCCGCCTCCTCTCCCGCACAAGTCTCCGACTTCTGGGCTAATTCTCGTAGTTAGAATGAGGAGTAGAGATATTATTATTATTATTATTAAAAATACCTATTGTTAAAACCTTTCCTATTAATATTGTCATTATTAACTGTATAAATTATTATTAACTAAATGTTCCGATTTTTTTTTCAATAGATATAAAAAAGTTTGTTTGGCATGATGCCATAATTCTTGTTATATTTTTGAAAATTTGTATTTAGTAAAAACATCTGTATGTAGATAGGTAAACGAAGAAATAAAAGAAATTCTAGAACTCTTTTATTTTATTTTGTGTATTATTCCATTAAATATTCCCGCCAGTGATTCAAGCGCCACTTCCAAGGATTTGACTTCTATTGTTGCCAATTCTCATAACGACTACTTTATATTTACAAATAAGTATATAAATACACACATTTATTGACATCTCATTGGTGCATTGATCGTTGTGTTCACTTCATTTAAATTATGAAAATAATATAATAAATTTGAAGAAGAAAAAAAACGTTACCCTTTTTCAAAAAACACTTTTTTGTTTAAAAATTAAAGAACCCTTCAAAAAACTAAAAATATTATTATTACTATTATTTATATATTTTTTTTTATAAAACCACATCTCAAAACGAACAAAATACAATAAAGGGTTTACATCTTTAGTTTTTGTCAAGTTACAGGTATTTGAAAATTTTATACCCAAAATATTCAAATGCTTATAACTCCTTGAGGGGTTAAAATTAAAAATTTGAAATTCATGAAATCTACTCTAAATGGGTACTAAATTATACCATAATGTCAGGAAAATTAAAAATGGTTAGGTGGTCACGACCTCAGCGATTTGGCCTGAGTTGCCTCTTATACTTACAGTTTTTATTGGAATATGCATGTCAAATAGAAATAATATATTTTTATTAAAAAATCCAACCATTCACATTACTAAGAGTATAAATATGGTCAAAATCAGTTAATTGCAAATCTCGTAGAAATGAGCAAGATTTACATAGATTTGATTTTTATGTTGCTTGGAAAGTTTGTAAATATATCAAAAATATGAGTCAGTGTGACATATATTTCTGATTACGAAAATTAAATACAGGGTGTAATAAGTTTGACTGCCATTACTCCAGCATGAGATAGAGTAATCATAAATGAACAAAAAGATTAACAGTTTTCAAAATACAGCGAGTATCAATATTGGGGAGTTTCATCACAACGTGACAACAGAGCTTAACCTGCTGATGCACACCACGTGTACACGCGGCAGACTTGACCTACGGAAAAAATGTAAACAACTATTATTGTGAAACATTTAATAAATTTCAAGACGATTGTTTTCTAGTTTTAAAATAAATAAAATAAAATGTACCGATTTTGTAGTACAAAGATAGTGTTGTGCTTAAATTTTACTTCTAATTTTAGTAATTATGAATCTCTTAAAACAGGAACTTGACTTTTAATCAAATTATGAATTTGAAAAATATTTAATTAAAGTCATCCAAATAATCATACGTATTAAAAATAATTTAGGTACTTACCAAAAAGCAAAATTCACTAATTTTTAAATGTACAAGTACAAAACAAACTACAACATATGCTCAAAATGTCCATCACCATTTTCGATGTACGCACGACACCTTCGAATCCAATTTTCGTATACTCGCTGGAAAACACCTCAAGAAAAGGAAATAGCGGTATGCAAAAAACACTCCGACACGGCCGAATCCAGATACCAACTGAATTGCGAATTGGTTATTGCTGGACACCTTAGTACCTCGTGTTAATAAACCGCCGCGCCATTGTCACATTGCTCGATATGAATTTTATCGAATTTTAAATTTATTACAACTAATTATTTTTTAGAATTAAGCATAAAGAAGTTCAAAAAGTGATAAAAATTGTATTTTATGGTATTCTATGGCAGATATGTCAATATTCTTTAATTAATCGAACTTTTGTACAACAAGTTGGAGAGTTTGATAATATCGTTTGGTAAAATTAAATCAGTGAACCTCTAACACCCTGTATATAAAATCAACTCCTTGACTGATTTTGGCGCAAGAGGTTATTTAGGTATTTAGAAATTTCTTTTTTTTTCAGTGTCGCAGAAATACTCAATAAAATTAAATGTAACAAAAAACGGCGAAAATACATACAGACAATATTTGTGGTGATTACTTATTATTTAGTTTTTCAATTTAATGAATTTAAATTAGCAAAAATAGACAATTTTGAGTTTTTTCTAAACGACGTGTTAAAATATGTTACAATGATTAAATTTTCATTTTTACTTACTCGAAATGTGTATTCGGAGTCAGTTTCAACTTGTTCGTAAGCCCGGTCGTCCACTCCCAAAGCCTCCTTAACTTTCAGGGAACATGATCTGGCCGCTTGTTTCAGTTTGTGTTGGTGTTTGAGGACCCACTTGCAAGCACACTGAAACAATAAGTGTTTGTAGAAATGGGTTAAAGTTTGCAGAGTTTAAAGAATCGAAGTACCTAATCCGGAAATTTGAATCTTGTAGGGAATTTAATACTTTCTTATTTACTAAAATTTTCTCTTGTTTTTGTTATATCTGTAATGTAAGTTGATGTTTTATGTATTACATCTATAAGGACAGATGGCCAAATAAATATAAATATTAGGTATACCGGGTGATTCAGTTTGATATTCGCGGCCCTGTATCTCTTTTATTTTAACAAATAGCTAAAACAAACCTTATATATTTTTAAATCGCCGCTTAAACTCTATCAAATGACATTATTAGATTGTCTTCATGGTAACATATGTCAAAATTGCTATAGTCAACTGTTTTTGTTCAGATGGCACACTACATATTTTTTTATCAAGACATTTTTTTTCTACATTCAGCTATGTAAGGAAGTCTATAGTTTCATTAGAAACATTGCTAGAAAAACAGCATAAAAGATGCTTCAGTAGCTTTATTCTGAAAAATGATAGCCAGCTGCGGAAACAACTGAATTTTGACATCAAAGTAATTGACATTTTGTACCTACCTATTCTATCTACATATAACTAATTATAACATGAATACAATAACCAAGAAAAACTAGATATGATTTTAATTTATACAGAGGGCTGAAAAAACGCAAAAGTTGCCAGGTATTTGTACCAACATCGTTTTCCGCAGAGATAACTTCCAACAGATAAAATTTTCGAAAAATTAACCAGGAATTTAGCGGCAGATGGAAATTTTCAAAAAAGAGAAAAAATTTTAAATGGCTTGCTAGATCTCCGCATCTCACACCTATAGATTTCTTTCATTGCCCTTACCTAAATGATATTGACGACCTTAAAAACAGAATAAGAGTAAAATGCCGGAGATTAAATGAAGGAACACTAGAATGTGTTTGTAGAGAGGGAATGATAAACAGAGTTATTCTGTGTTTGGAAGCAAATGCAGGTCATTTTGAACATTTAAAATAAGTATTTGTTTTAAATTGTTACATTATTATCGTATTAAAAATAAAATATGTTACTTTAAAAAACACAGTAACTTGTTTCTGCAGCTGGCTATCATTTTTCAGAATAAAGCGCTTATTTTTCTAGCAATATTTCTAATGAAACTATAGACTTCCTTACATAGCTGAACGTAGAAAAAAATATCTTTTAGAATTGATAAAAAAATATATAGTGTGCCATTCGAACAAAAACAGTTGACTACTATAGCAATTTTGACATATGTTACCATGAAGACGATGTAATAATGTCCTTTGATAAAGTTTGAGCGCCTATTTAAAAATATATAGGGTTTGTTATAGCTATTTACTAAAATAAAAGAGATACTAGGCCGCGAATACCAAACTGAATCACACGCTATGTGTAAAACATATCTATTTATTGAAACATTTGCGTTTTTAATTATTTGAAAAATAGGACACTTCTTATCTCTAAACAGTGGATAAATATTTTCCTACAAAAATATATTTTGCTGTTTTTCAGTAAACCTGACCTATGGTTACACTAAAATAATTTTGTTTGATTTATGCATTATAATAATTACTTAACCTATTTGATTGCAAAATTTCGTCATTAGGTTTCAAGATTTGCATATACACATTATAAAAAAAATGTACTAGATAGTCCACACTAAAATACGCAAAAACAAATTAGTTTATTTTTGCGTGTAGATACAATGTTTATTTTGTAAAATTTCCAGAACTGCGCAAATAGATAAAATAAAATTCGATATTAAAATAGTTGTGAAATTTTTGTTTCATGTTCAATATTTCAGTTTTTGAGTTAGATTTTTCCGTGGAGTGTGAAATTTCGTTTTCAATTTTAGAAACAAGCACATATGGGATTATGAAAATCCCTATGTAGTCACTGAGCGTCACTTTTAACGAGAATTCAAGATAAATGTTTTGTGTGGAATTATAACCACCTTCTGGGTCCACATGAACTTCCTTCGAATTTGAACGGTGTTATTTTTACATTTCCTGCAGCATCATTTAGTTAATTACCTGGATGATTTACCATTAAATTTACGGCAGAATCTTTATGCAAGATGGGGCTCCCACTTATTTTTCTGTCTAAGCATGGAACTATCTTGATCAAACTTTTCCGAATCGTTGGATAGGTCGTGGGAGTCGAGTGTCATGGCCTCTTCTCAGCCCTGATTTCAACCCCATGGACTTTTGTTTTTGGGGTTACATGAAATCAATTGTTTATGGAGAAACTGTAAACACCCGGGAAGAACTTTGGCAGCAGATTTTAAATGTTGCGGAGTCATTCGCGATAAGGATTTATACTTTAAAATCAGACAATCAGATAATTTAATAAACGCGTTGATAAATCTAAGTTAGTGGTGAACAATTTGAGCAATTATTGTCAAAAATTCTAAATGAACCCTTGTTTTTAACATTTCTAAATTATTTTAATTATTTCAACTATTAGCATTGGAAGTTTCAAAGACAAATATCTCGAAAACGGTGTGAGACAGCTACTTCTATAAAGTACCTATACTTTTGTGTAAAAAAAGTTGGTAAATAAGAATTTGATACCAAAGATGAGATACCTTAAAGTATAAAAAAGTTATGTCGTTTTTAACACATTCAGTCTACTGCAGCTAGCGCCCTCTATGGATTTTAACCAAAATATGGACAGATTTCAATTCCTTGACTCAAAGAACCCTAAATCCCAAAATTTTGTGTGGATATTTGCATTTATTAAGAAATAAATGAAGAAAAACTAAAATAATATTTTACATTTAACACCCTATATCTCTTTAACTATCAACTTTTGGACTAGGACTAAGGTAGGTTCTGCTAAATTGCAATATATTTGCTTCGGGAATCTACCCATGAATTTTGGCCCATTACCTCGGGACCACCCTGTATATGATTTTTTATGAGTCACACGAGAAACTACTGGCAAAACTCAATGATAAAGATAATTAAATGTATTAGTTTGCAGACTGCCAATATTAAGTACATTTTAATTTGATATTTTGTGAAAAGATTTACATTTGCGTGCAAAGCAGCTTACATCATGTGCCAGAAGTATGCGAAACTTATTATTCCTACTTCAGTTACGTTTCCATTTCATCATAATTATAAAAACAAGCTAAAAACAAAATTAAGAAATAACTTGTAATAGTTAACCGCAGTGATATTTATGTAATTGTATAAACACAAATAAGAATCGAGGAGTTGAAAAAATCTCGAGTATCATAAGCAACTTTATCAAATTTCAACATACTTTCAATCTCTGCGAGTTAAAGTTTATCGGTTATTCTGGTTTGTGTTGGACGATTGGCAATTAATAGGGTTTATCAGTGTGTAATGGCTTCATTTATTGACAAAATCGTCAGTCAGTATCTATTTTAGGAAGGTGAGAAAGTAGCTTGGGATTTTTTGCGAAAGAGGACGCATTGCTTCAGAAAATCTTTCAAGTGTCCAAAAAACATAAACTGCTTAAAGAAATCGAAATATTTTTATAAAAAGTAAAATCAATTGGAACATCCATTGTTGAATATTTCATTCTGTTATGGAAAAATTTATGTTAATTTTAAGTTTCTCCCTTTGTACACATTTTTTAGTGTGATGTATGTGTTTTGAATTTTTTTAGAATCTTGCTCAAAGTCAAGATAATCAGTGGTTAAGATAAAACCAGTTATATGCTCCTCGCTTTATCATAGAACATTATTTACTATGCCAGTTTAAAATTGTGACCTATAATAAGATAAACTAGATTAGTGTTGAGGAATCTCTAGATTAATATAATGGTGTATAGTGCAGTCCAATTGTCCTTTGTTGATAAATTAGTTGGAAAGTTCAATTAAGAATATGTATAGTAAGTATTGAAAAACTGGGAGAACAGTAAAGTGTAATGCATTTAAAGAAAATTAGATAAAGAGTATATCCAACATGTTGAAACCATAGAATTGTATTTCACTGGAAAAGTGAAAAAAAAAAAACGGCAAATAGAAATTGATACTTAATATTCAACTTATTTGAGTTTTAAATATACAGTGCGTCCCAGAAGTAACGCAAAAAATTCGTATTTTACTTTGTGTTGAGTTTTCACAAAAACGCTAAAATACGTCAATTAGTAAATAGGAATTGTCGTTTAGTCACGTTGGTTAAACCTTTTTTGCGCTTTGTTTCATAAACCTATGACGTCATCGACATTTTTTTTAAATAGCACTGCCAATTTTTTTAAGCATAAATGGATAGTCCTTTTGAAGGGAAATGCGTCGATATAGGATTTGGCCTACTTTACTTTGACAGGTGCGAAAAAAGCCAACGATTGGAATGGACATGGTTTGAATTAATAACAAAAGTAGGTATCACAAACTTATGCACGAACAGTGCTATAGCAAAAAATGTGTTTTGGTTGATTGTAGGTACATGTTTTTATGTAGATTTGGCAGGTACACCCGATCACAGCGGCTATGTAGGTATTGTTTTGAAGACGACAGTTAGCGAATGCAATAGTGCCTCATATCATTGTGACAGTTACAAATACCATAACTATATATTACGATGGTGTTGCATTTAAATGAGAAACAAAGAATTGAAATCCTAATTATGGTTGGATACGGAGATAGGATCCGTAATTATGATGAAGTATGTCAATTATTCAATGCCAACTATCCAGAACAACCAATACCTCCGTCTACAGTATGCAGATTTGAAAAGCTGGATATGCTAGAGATCTGTCTAGATTTGGAAGTCCAACGACAGATAGAAAATGAATGGCAAAATGTTTAGCTGTCACTGAAAATCCACACACTGCCGGTCGTTGTATCGCCGAAAACGCCAACATATCAATACATAAAAACATACCTACAATCAACCAAAACACAAAACATCCTCAAATTTCCATTTTTTGCTGTGGCACTGTTCTCGCATCAGTTTGTGATACCTACTTTTGTTGTTATTTTAAACCATGTCCATTCCAATCATTGACTT